TGTGTGTGTGTGTGTGTGTGTGTGTGTGTGTGTGTGTGTGTGTGTGTGTGTGTGTGCGCGCGTGCGTACGTGCGTGAGTGAGAGAGAGAGAGTCATTGTATGTCATTGTAGTCCATTCACCCAAATACTCTGCAGCTTTTGGACACTCACAAATACCTTTTCTGAATAGAACCACCGCAGGATGACTGAAATGGGGGATAATCCCGTTTGTACTCCAAGTCTTCTTGGCTTTAACAGGAATGGTTAGGCATATGCTTTGAGTGGTTAATATTCAATATATTCAGGAGTAAAATTCAAAGAACAACAACAAATCCTGGGTTCAGAGAGAAAAATGTCATCATCGAATCTAAGTTAAAATGAAAAGAAATATTATTTTTAAATTACTGGTCGAGCTTTCATTCAAACCAACATCCTGTCTAATAACGGAATTCCAATATACAGCAAAGAAGGTATGCGACTTGTTTAATTACAACTAAAGCATTAACACTTAAACTCCTAAATAAAAGCTGGTATTAAAAGCTCATACTTGTAAAAAGACGACTCTGAGCAGACACAAAACTTGTACCTTCTAGCAACTAGAAATGTCATATTAAGAGCTTCTTTGGCACAACCTTGATATAAATTACTCTGTTGCTGTCAATGTGCCTTTATAGCATAAAAATAATTTAATGAATCACTTTTTATACTCTACTTTTTTTCCCTTAATGTTCCAGAAATTTACAGATAATAACACTGATCATTTGAAGATGTCTTCCATTCATTATGACCCCTAAAATACTGTCAAGTTTTTTACTATTAGATATAATAATGAGCTTCTTATCTTCCTACATAAAATCTTAAGTAAAATACTGTTTTTACATATATAGATCATTTGCATTCATCAAAGATACAATGACATAGCTAAAAGTGGCAATATTCTTCATGTAATTATTTTTCTCTTCAATGATACTATGCACTGGAAAGCAGAAACAGAGGCATTGTGGTGGGAATATACTGACTGCCATTGTTTAATGAGTGATAGCAGCTGCAAAACAGAGTAAAACAGACCTGGAGAAAACTTGAATCAGCAGTATGTCTTTCCAAGATTTATCTTTCCTCCTCCATTTCATTTGGTGCACAGTGTTGACAAAATAACAGTGCTGTGCATAGTCTAGAAACTGTAGTCACAAACACTCGTATAAAAACGATCTTGGTTACAAATAAACAGTATGATAAACAAAAACAGGCTGCATTAATGCAGCAGTTCTTTAATACTTGTGAAAGTAAGACTAGACTCTATTTGATTCTCATGTTACGTGCCATTTCATACCTTTTAAATAATTGTCACAGTTTTACATGTACTTTAAACAGGTATTTTACTTTAAAAACATATGCAATCAAAAACATTCAGTGAATCACATATCCTTTCGTTTGGACTATGAGAATACTTACTAAAAGCCTCACCCTCCTCAAACTAAAACATCTTCCTCCCTCCTTACAGTGCAGCTATAAGGATCTAGACCCCAGCAGCTACACTGTAAGGCAATCCACTTAGGGAAATGCACACATCACAGTGAAAGCAATCTAATATTGGGATTGCTTAATGATATTAAGCAGGGAATTATTTAAAATCGACTCACCTTTTATACTCACTTATTAGTTTGTTGTTAGAACTAAAACAAAGTATGTGCCCAAGTGAGGAAAATTTACCTGACATAGTTTTTCCATACCTTTGTTTGCTCATTTCCTAAAAATGACTGGAATTTATTTATCTGAAATCCCAATAAGCTAGATCAATAATATTGGTAAAATCTTCACAGATGCACTCCTTGGACAGCAAGCAACAAAGCCTGCTAGCTAAATTTAAAGTCCATAAATTGATCACACTTAATCAACCCAATTTTGTCACTATAATTGATTTTGCAATTATCTTGGCAATCTGCTATGTTATTGGCTTTGTTCTTCCAAACAGGGCCCTAATAAGCAGCAGCTTAATTCTTTCAACAGGTGGGGGTATAGCTGGGAATCCAAAGTGTTTATAAAAACATTGTGGTAATGATCACGACTGTGGGTATGAAGCGTGATCATGATTGATAATTATAGATCACATGATATCATTTGACTACCATCTTCACAAGGTAGAACTGTGTGTGTGTGTGTGTGTCTGTGCGACGATACCTAAACAAAGGACTGAATGCACCAAAAGAGATGTACACAAAAACCACTATTTACCTCAAAGCGCTGCAGCTGTCGGTCTAAAAATCAAGACAAACAAAAGCAAGTGAGCTATAAGCCTCATTAAAACAACAGCATAGCTGGGGCACTGGCACCATGTTCCATAAATGGCTGAGCAGTCTGCAGACAAAAGGCTTAAGCACCTCACTCATTTAAACACTAATGAATTGACCTGTCTCAACCTGGCTCCATAAAAGCCTAAAATTAGAGGCAAAATAAATAAATCAGGGATAAGAGGCGACGGTAATTCTGCAGCTTTGAGGAAGCCGAGGGAAAAACCAAAGGATTACTAAACAACCATGAGTTTGGTAAGGAAATACACACAAAAAAGGGAGGGAATGAAGGAATAAGGTAGAAAAAAAAAGAACAGCTACCCAGGAGAAAAACGGATTAAAACATGCAGAATTATAAGCAAAAAAAAGATAACACTGAAGCACATTTCATTCAAGGTTTCATACTGTGAAGGGAGATGCTGAGCTGTAATTCCAAGGAAGGGAAATATTTTCTTTTAAACGAGAGAAAGTTCAATGCTTATGGCTCAGGAAATCAACAGAACTAATTTAACTTCTCCATTTAAATGTGACCACAAAGTTCAGGTAAATAGGAATCAAATCAAAGCTCAAAAAAGCTCTAATGATAATGTCAAAGAACACAATCTAATAATCCTGCATTGCATGATGAAAAGGTTAATGTGGACTTATTCGACTCTACAGTAATTTGCGAGGCCAAACAGCACAACAAAACCCAATGCCAAATGAAGAATTACACATGACTGTCAAAACACATTATAATACAAATGCGCTTTACAGAAGTAAAATGTTTTTAGAGCCGTTACAATGCATATGGGTTGCTATTATTGTCCACAATAATATAAATAGTAGAACGCATCAATCAGCATGTGAATTTCCTACTGTGTCAGCTTCAGCTTTGTCTTCACCCACTGCGTTTATGATCGGCTGTGAGCTGCTTTAAATCAAAAACAAAAAAAACAACCTTCAAATATTCAAGCAGTTTAAATATAAAATGTTCCCAGGTCTACTGGTGCTGTTGCATTCTATGAAACATTGAGCTGAGGGCTGGAATACATCGGCAGTAACTGTGAAAAGTGGCCCTCCATTTCACAATGCCAATTTTGTAAAGCTGGTACAGTACAGAGCTGCATGGTGCATCATGGGAATGTTATTATGAGCTCAGGTAGCCCACTCCTTGATTTTGCACAGAGGCATATGAATGCAGATAGGGCCACATATAGCCAGAAAAATACTGGCACACACAAACCAGTAGCACTTACAAGCGCACCCACATCGTGTTGTCTAAAGGATGCAGATGCACAGCGCCTCCAAGTGGACTGAGCATGGCACTGCAGTGCAGTGCAGCGCAGCAATACCAGCAGGAAAGCAAACATTACATTCCAGATGCATAAATGCTATTGTGTAAGCATCAGCTGGACACTAGTGTTTACCTTTTGTTCTTAACTATGAGAGAATGTTTTTTAAATACACCACATAAATTGGGCACAAGTAACCCACCTTTCTTTATTTTTCCAACATTGAATTAAAGAAGAGTTTGTTGAGAAGCTGTGAAGTCAAACTCCCGCAGCATTTAACTCAATTACCCCTTAAATAAACACAGGGTCTCAAAAGGTATTACACAACACATTGATTAAGCAGGACACCAATCTACTAATCCATTTGGAGACATCCGCTGTTTTGTGACAGGATTATTTCTGCTGCCTTTCCTCTACTTATTACAAATAAATATTTACCCAGTGAACAAGGGGAGAATGATTAATGACAGACACAAACAGATGGAAAGGAAACGGTAGAAAAAAGGAGTGGGTTAGAGAAAGCTAACTGCATCCAATTACAGTAAATGGGCTCATTTCCTCTAATCAAATAGCTCAGTTAAATATCTCAAAGGCAGATTCCCCATAGAGTTAATTTTCACACACCAGCAGTCACCCACTAAGTTTCCCTCTCTCTCTTTCTTTTTGGTCCTACTTATTACCTTTTTTTCTTTTTTTAACTGCATTTCTCTCATCTAGCTTCTGCTCTCTCATTCAAATCATACAACACGCAATATCACCACTGCCCTCTTCACTGACCACACTAGTTCTTCAAAAGAAATGGATACTGCATGAAGGAATTCCTCTACAAACGTCTGGGTTGTTGAGCTTCATTAAATACTCAGTGAAAGTCAATGCATCAGCATCGTAACATCTATCCAGTGTCCAGTCACATCCAGAGATGCATCATCTAGCAGTTCAATGACAGAATGGAATCAAAGTGGATTTTTATTTTACTCTATTAGTGTAAGATCTGATGACTTCTTGGCATGAACTCACTGTCATGTCCAAGAAACAAGTTTAAGATTATCTGAATATAAAAAGTGTTTCTCCCCATGTCTACATGCCTAAATGTTATTGCCACGTGACCCTTTATATCAGGGGTGTCGAACTCCAGGCCTCGAGGGCCGGTGTCCCGCAGGTTTTAGATATCACCCTGGGTCAACACACCTGAATCAAGTGATCAGTTCATTACCAGGCCTCTGGAGAACTTCAAGACATGTTGAGGAGGTAATTTAGCCATTTAAATCAGCTGTGTTGGTTCAAGGACACATCTAAAACCTGCAGGACACCGGCCCTCGAGGCCTGGAGTTCGACACCTGTGCTTTATATGACTCAAGATTAAACAAAAACAACTTATCAAATACTGAAACTTAAAATATGACTGCTTGAATAAAATGCTCCCTGCTTGTTTGAATATCATGCTAGGAACACATTTTTAAAAAGGTGTGACGGAAAATCTTTGTCATTTTACAGTGCTTTGCATGTGTCTTTAAAGTTTATTTTTTGGGGGGAAAAGGGCATTAATTTAAAAAGAAACAACAAAAAATAATCTTCTTAGTTTTAATATTTGTTGTCTATTTTTATTATTTTCAATTAAATATAAGACTTCAAAATTGTTGAAATTGAAATTGTGAAAAACAACACATTTTGTTTTTATTTATATTTCAGAGAATCATTTGTTGTACTTGTGATATTTCTGAGAACTAATGAACATATATGTTTTAAATAAACAGGCCAATAAACAGGTTGACGTGGACCACAAGATGACCAAATGCACATGTCATGCTCCAATATGCTGTCCATATTATAGATGGACTTTTATCGAGCCTTTGCTTTTTCAAGAAGTCTCCATCATGATAACAGTTGAACTAATCTATTAGAGAAATGCACTCAAACACACTCATCTGCATACACAGATATACTGACTGACTCCTGATCACATACACATGTCTAATGCACATGTGCTTGTAATGATCACAGCACTGAACAAATACAGGCACATCCTGTACATACACAAAACCAGTAGTGCTTTTTTGCTTTTGTATTCACTCCTAATCCATTACTGTGAGATAAACATGTGGCACTTTCAGTGCCTTGAAGGTTGTGTCACATAATGAAAGTAGTAAACACACAAAGCGTATTATAAAATTTCTAATCCAGCTCATTTTAAGCTCTTTATGCATTCCTGAGATCAGGTGCTTGGGTACCAAAATATAGAGAATCAAAGCAAGGCCAGAAAATTCTAATACTACACGGCTGGTGAGCAGGTTAGTTTTCCTTTGAGACAGAACGAAGCCTTGGCATGAGACGGGCAGAGAGAGCTGACTGAAAACTAGAAAATTTTGATTTTTTTTTTTCTTACAGACTTTGTTCTGGCCATTAATGTATAAATATAAAAAGAAGAACTATTTAAAAGTGAAACTGACAACTGAACTTTGGCACCATGAAGGCAGCATAATCTACAAGTAGGGCATAAAGTATATACACCGTATTTTTAGACAAGACAGAACTAAACGTAGACTTGGCTCCTGAAATTAACACTGCATACATTACATTGGGTATATTTTAGTCTTCCATTTCTTGGTAGAAAAAAATCAAAAGTCCTTTGAGGTCTGCAAGATGCTTGAATTCTTGTCTGCAGAAGCCACAGAAATGTTAACAGACCATTTCTTTAATGTGTAGCAGGTCATGCTTAAAGGCTCAAAACCTTTACATTTCCTCCAACTCTCTCCTTCTTACTTGGAAAAAATCCAGTTCTCAGTCACACAAGCCTATTCTTTGCCAACTTTCAATCAGCTAAAGCAGAAGCTCTAAGTGTTCTCCGAGGTTTTTAGCCCGAGTAACCACATAATCGCTAAAGGGTTTTGGCTGCTCTCCACCTCTTTCATTTTCTAAAAAAATGCTACTGAGCTATCTGCCAGTTGACTTAAAGGCAAGGAGGGGAAGATTGGCAGAAGAAGAACGCTTACTTTTAACACACATAATTGATTAATTATTCTTCAGAAATATGGATATCAAACTATTCCTTAATTTACTGTTAATTAATTGCTTAAAATAATTTAAATTTCATATTTTTTTAAATCACAATCAGAGTAGAGTCAACTGAAAAAACGAATTGTGGGGTTTTTACATTTTTATGTAAAAACTAGTTAAAGGTGAAATGAGGACTTACTATGCTGTTCAGCTCTGAGTCATCATAGCTGTCTAACCGATGAGCCGCAGGCCCCCCAAGGGGCTCAAGCCCCTCTTCATCCCACATGTAGGTTCCACCAGAGCTGTTGGAGGGTGACAGCTCCACAGATGAAATCTGGGGGGCATCAGTCTGCTCTGGAGATAGCATCAGTGATCCTTGGGACTCCTGCATAGGACTTTCTTCCTTATGACCTGCAACCACATAGACAAAAGGCTGAACAAACACCACAAAGGATAGCACTGTATCTATTTGAATTTGCTTTCCAAAGGGTGAATTTTACCAGTCAGATCCACAGACTCCCAGTCACTGGTCTCATTTAGGAGACTGTCTAGCTGGGCATCACTGGCAGCTTTTCTGTTGTCAGGCATGTCCCCATCACTGAAAACATCTCCCACACTGTCGAAGTCATCTAGAAACTCTTCACTGATGTCACCTCTCTCTATAGATGAAGCAGAAGATAAGGACATGTCTTCCAGGGTCTCGGCTGCTGTTTGGCCACCGCTTTCTCCTCCTTTTCCTTCTGCATTCCCAGAGCTTTTGTCACTTTCACTTTGAGATTCGACTTTGTCAGCCTTGTAGGTTGATTCATTCTCCAGTAGACCTACACAATCAGAGGCAGTTGAAGAGCTGATATCCTCCTTAATGTTACCTGATAAAAGAGACTTCTGCTGTTTAGCCTGCCCAGTTCGGGGCAATTTGTAGCACAACGACACCCCACTGCTAGCCATTGACTTGGTCAACACACTACTGGGGAGCAGAGCCTTCCTTAAAGTACGAGGAGTAGTTGGTGTCGTAGTGATCAAAGGGCCAGGCAGAGAGGACGCAACTGATGAATTTTTGTTGTACTGAAGTCCTCCAACCCCACCTAAACCACCAAAACCTCCAAGGCTGCCATGCAGTCCTAAACCCACTCTTCCATTACTCAGTTGAGGGGGTTTGACAAAACTACTCCGAGGAGGCCGCAGCTGAGTGTTGGCCAGAGGCTTGGCTAGTTCCACAGCCCGATTAAAAGAGAAAGACCGTATCATAGGCTCACTGGTGGGCGAGGGAATCTGTTTAAAGTGAGTGAAACTATTTGAACGAACCATGTTGTCCAGTGCTACAATCTTCAGGCTCTCACTGGACTGGGATAGGCTGTCTTGAGAGTTGCTTCTGGTAGAGCTAGAGCCTAACCTTGGTCGCACAAGCCGAGACTCCAACCCTGTCTGAGTAGGAATGCTTGCACTATTACTACCTGTTTTAGAACTTCCATTCATGGGGCTCTGCCCTAACTTGGTCCCAACTTTGGGAGTCATCTTTGAGGATTGCTTTTGAATAGCCTTTGGGCTTGAGACAGCCACCATCAAAGAGCCTGATCTGCCCATCTTAGGTGTTGCTGGAGAGCCATTCTTTACTTCCTTGATCACAGAGGGAAGCTGTGTCTGAGCCTTGTCTTCACTTTCATCCTCAGGGGCAGTGGGAATGGATGGACTAGAGGGGTTTACCCCCTCATCTCTCTTCAATTTTAGGGAAAAGGGTGACGCCTGGATCACACCATTTGGGCGTGTTGCTGATGGAGTAACCTTGCCATCTTGCGTAGGGGTGGCTGGATGTGCAGAACCATTAGAAAGGGCACTGGCGCCACTAGTTGAGGACCGTCCACTGAACTTAGGCAGTCTGGATACCATGGCAGACCTGATGGATGCTTTTTCTTCCATTAGATGCCAACCAAGGCATGGAGCGGCATGGAATTTTCCACAGCTGAGAAAAAAGAAAATTGACATAAAAACAGAATAACATGTGATTAGAGTGTCCATAACTTTACTTAGTGATAAAGTATCACACGGTAAAACATTTGAATTAATCACTAGTCTTTTAATAATTCTTATTTTTATATCCATGCTGCTGTCTAAATATCAAAACAAACTGTCTAAATAAAAGAAAAACAAATCACACCCCTCCCCGACAATTCTTATTATCTGTCATTCAAAAAAAAAAAAAAAAAAACTTTTATTTTTTAAAATAATGTCAGAAACCAGTATCAGTGAACTCTTAGTTATTTATATAATTACAAAATATGTTAATTTGACTTTCGTGTGTTTTTCTTGTCATCAACACAAACCTGCAGTGGATCTGTGATGTTCAGTGTAATAACCTATTCAGCTGAAAACCATGTTGCACTACCTAACAGATCTGTATAGTCACTAATTGTTTTGATACTTTTCTAATGCTTATCCCACTTGGAGTTGTTATTATAACAGAGCATCTTTTCCTGTGAGTGACATCAAAGCCTACTAATGAAAGCCCAACCCAGAAAGCAGAATGCCAAACGCAGTTAAGATACTGCAACAAGCAAATGCACTCAGATGCACAAGCACACACATGCAATTGCGTGTTCTCATCAGCAATGCTATTATAATTATCTTGTAATTATCCAGTAATAGTGCTAAAGATATTCCTTTCCACCTGTCGCAACGGTTGCAATCTTCTTTTCATGGACTGTTTACTGTGAGTGGAATTAGGAATTAATCTGGCACGCATGGGGACCTGAAACTTTGTCACGCCAAGTTTGTCTTGGTGTGTGCATGCAGACCCTCGGGAAACAAAAAGGCTCTGCCCTTTCAGCTGTCTCATAACCACAAATTTGAATCCCACATGGTAAATCTGATGTCTCTTCACTGAACTCTGCTGGAAACATTTGTGAATGTCTTAGATATTTCTTAGATATAAACTACTGAGATTAAGTAAATGTATTAAGATTAATAACAAGTTCATAGAGTGAGCTTTAATTTTTTTTAGAGGTTTACAGATGAATAGCCCTGCACCTGGCACTGGTTTTGGAGAATTTGCTTCCAAACTGTCTCGCCAATGAAAAAAAAAAGAAAGAAAGGGAAAGAAAAAGTGGGTAAATTGGTAGACACTGCCTGTGGGACAGGGGGAAACCAGAGCTGGGAAGGTGGCCAACATAATGAATAGTGAATGGAGGATATACAGTATTAAAGCCAATGAAGGGAGAATACTAGCCTGTTCCCTCTGGCTCATTGTTTGATTCATTCAGTTTCAATCACCCATGTGACAAGTGTACATGTGTTGGTGGTGTACCTGTATGTTATATCCATCTGGCTAGGGAATACTACAAATTGAAAAGTTGGTACCCAGATGGCTGGTGTAGTTAGCAGAAAGCAAACAATCTGTGTAAGGAAACAAAGCAGTTACCAAAACTAAGTGCCAACAGAAAAAAAAAACCTACTGTTACACCAAATGTTATTTAAAAATTACAAGTTATCATTCAAGAAAAGCTTATTGTGTTGTAACTTTGTGGTAGATCAGGAAGTTCCCATGAGTGGATCCCCTGACAAACTGTCACACAGCTACAAACACACTTACGGGAGCAATAATTCAATCAACTCTGAAGAGGTAGAGGGGGTGTGCTGAGTCACAATATGGATCTCCTATCTTGGAAAAACCTCTCTGCTACAGTGTCCCACATTCCTATACAGGAACACGTGCTCAAACAGACTCTGCCACAGAAGTGTCTGGCAATGCCACCTTCCTAATCTGTTTCACAAACACACATGTGTTTAGATGCAAAATGCACACACTTACACACAGATGAAAAAAAAAAATCAGGTCAGCATGTGCAGGCAGGGCAACCAAAGCCTCTTTGCCCTGGAGGGGGTAGTGACTACGCCTGTCTGTGTGTGTTTAATGGGTGGTGATTAGACTAAGGGTTTTTGCAACTGTCAGTGGCCTCACAACATTTCCAGCTTCATTGATATCTACAGTGGCAAGTCACTACCACATAGCAGCAAACTCACACAGCAAATGTGGCAAATACTTGTTCATCTGGGTCGTCTCACCCATCACTCAGCCACTGAAAGTTATAATCAGTAAGTTGCTGCCTGTTTATAGAGATGCAGCAAGGAAAAATAACACCGTTGAGGTTTTGACCTTTTATTAACCGCAAGGCAAGTGTATCAAAAAATTCAAACAAGTGACCTTAAAACATTTAAATAACTACAAATCAACAGGAAAATAATGTCCTATCATCAAGGCCTTGTACGAGTTAGCATTCAGATGGGTATTGTCTATATAAATTTTTCTATACTTTAAAATATACAATAACCCCGTTTTTGTTGGCTGAATAATTTCAAAGTGAATGGCCTTTTACTAATTTCTATGCACAGAATAGCCTCCCCAACCGGCTCTATTCCAATAAAAAGTACAAAGACAAAGGTCAGCACAACAAAGCCACAAATAAACAAAATCCTAACTGACTGACACACATTCAGAAGTAGCGCAGTAAACCGTGCAGACCATCTGTCAAACGCTCATATCTGGAGACTTGCCCCTCCCCCACAGCCAAGTACTGGTAAATAAGTAAATATCCCTTTGCTGAAATCAAGTATGAGGTCTGAACTATAACTATATGGTTCTTATGTGATTCCAATAGTAAAATAGCCCAGGAATAGTCCAGCTGTCAGGATTATTAACATCCTTCCCTGAACTGAAAAATGATGTCACGGGAAAGCAAAATATTGGGTTTACAGAGTGAAGCTGTAAAAGATTATGTTCATCTCGATGTCCAAAGCATCATTATATCATTATAATAAATTATCTGTGATATGCAAAAGCAAGCAGAAGAAGGGTTGACAGGAGTAAGCTTAAACTAGAAAAGACAGGGACATTCACGTAAGTGCAATTAGAATGGGAGAAACAGAAGGACGAGACTCGAGGCACACTTTTCCTACAGAGAGATCCTCTGCTGGACAGATAGCTTAGCATCCAGTGATCCCTGTGTGTGAAATGAACAGTAAAGTGACATGACATCTTTTCTTCCTCTCTGTCCCAGAGGGATGGTGCACTTTATTTCATAGTGACAGTCAGGGTATTTGGCCTTCCTTCAATTCAAACTCAGAGGACAGCCATGCAGAAAGCACCCGACAGAGGAGCAGGAAGGCTGAAAAATTTGATCTGGATTAGTAAGGTCGTTCATTTCTCTTCTGGCAAAGCTTTCACTTTTGATGCGCACACATGCACCCAAACTAGAAAGATACATTCTTCAGGAGTAACAGGATGGATGCAGATAGGATGCGACAGCCTGGAGCGATGATCTATTGGGTCATTGGGGCTACGCATGAATGGAGGTGCTCTACTACACACAGTAAATCCCCCATTCCTGCTGTTTATCCCCACAGCTAATCTGTCCCTAACTCCCAGTGCTCATAGTTCCCTATCATTACAAAGCCTCCATACCATCTCTCTAGAGAGCAGTACGTCAAGCTACATCCATCTTTTTTTTCCTCTTCTAGCTTTCCATCAGCAGACTTAATAATTTAAGGGATGAGAAGTTTTTATTTTATTTTATTCAAACTCTGCAATAAGTATACTACAGCATAAGGGATGTCAAGGAAGATGTAATGTTTCTGGTGGGATTCGTATCAATATTTTTACTAATTGTACTCATGCACTAACCTTACAATCCAAAGTCACGAGATTCATTTTCATTTTCTGTCTTTCTAACGAAAATACTGTTAGGTCATTTTTCAAAGTGGCACATTTTAAGCAGTGTTTAAGTTGAAGGGGTTGAAAGCAACAACTATATTACCTCATGTGGGACTGAACAAAAACAATAACATCATAAAAATAAACTAATCTGTAGCCTACTACACTACTTTCCATAACTCAACTGACACATTATCCTTGTCTGAAGAGCACAGTATGTCATCCAGCCTGCTCTGCTGTGTGAGAATAAAGCTCTGAAGTGTATGGGCCACCCCAGCCATGCCCATTCAACCTCTATCTTAAAGCAGTTTTACCATCAACTCAGTCATTTAGGAACTGTGTCAACCAACTAAATTACATTTTAAAAACAAAAATGCACAGCCTAAGCAACTTCACACAGCACTGAATCAAAACCAAAGTGCAACCTCATTTGCATATATTGACTGAGTCTAGAGTCTCACTGGAGTAATAACTAGGCCAGTCATCTGGACAGAGCAGTTGTGGGTCATAGCTGTGTCCCTGAAGAGATTAACAGAGTGCCATTAGAGAAGGCTAATAGAATGAGACAGGGTTGAAAGTAACGCTGGCGCTAGACTAATGTGTATTGAGTGAAAGCAATACTGGGAAGAGCTGCACTGATGTTAAAGGATGCTAATCCAATGACAAAGCACTGAGAATTTGGTAATGTTCTATACTAAAACGTGGCAGATCAAATGACAGAGTGCAACAGAGGAAACAGTGAGTGCAAGAGAGGGGAGCAAGATAAGGTGTGGCAAGCCACGGCACTGAGATCTACAGCTAGACCACAACAAGCAAAGACAAAATCACATCATCACATCAGTGCATCTTTCAGTGAGACTTATATAATCTATTCCCTAATGTGCATCACAGAAAAGTAGATTAAAAACTATTACCTTAACTTGGTGAATTTATGTTGAGTTGTTCATCATTTTTATCCCCAAATTAATCAACAAGGGGAGAAATAAATGCAGTCAAGTGGATCTACACTTTGTTTCCTCCATCATCTAAACTGAAAGTAAGGTAGCAGCAAAAGAAAGTAGAGCACAGGAAAAGGAAGACACCCTTCAAAGGTTGAGCTGTATGCTGCCCTGCTCTGTCTTTGCATGTGTGCCTGAGTATGCGTGTAAAGTGACGTGTGTGGCACGCGCGCTGATGGGTGTGTGGGTGGAGAGAACAGAGCCTTTATGAGGGCGTTAATATTTGATGGGGAATCTTTTAGGGATCCTACTCAGTGTGCTGTGAAAGGAGAGGAGAGCAGAGGAGAGAAAACACACCAAAAATATGATCCGCAATATGTTAAAAAGACCAAAGTCACATAATTGCCCCCAACACAGGAAGGCTTATCTACAAGCTGAAGAAGCAATTTACAGAATGCTGCCCTATGCTATCATGAGATCACCAGAGGGAATAATCAAGGAAACAGATCCTGCCTCCAGTAAAGAAAAATATACTGTGGCTCTTGTAAAGCTCCACTGTGAATTCAATTTACTTCCACTCATTTCATGGTCAACACAGCATACTGGTTCCATTCAGTCAACCATTTCTGTTAAGTGCTGGCAGTAAAACCATTCGAGCACTGCCACTTCATCCTGTTGTGTCTGTGATCTCACATGCCTTGATAAGTCCCAGCATGGAGTCTAAAGCAATGGTCATTATAACAGCAGCAGAACTGGAGGCTAACATACAGGATTTCTAAAGCATAAATAAGGTTTTACTTTGTTTCACTCAACGCTTTTGCCAGATGGCTCAATATAAATCAGCTGCTCTGCCTGTATGTAATTACACCAGAGGTGCAAAGTAGATAACTGTCAAGCTATTTTGAGCCAAAAATACTTTCTATTAAAGCTGAATGGCAGTTGAGGATACTGTTGTGATGCGACACTGATTTGGGATATATTTTAAACATTCAACCATCACACTGCCAAAGAAAGTCTGAACCAAACTGAGTCATACTGCTGACTAGTCACGACACACAGAGACACCTTTTGAAAAGTTCTCATAATCTACCCTGAGTCATCCTTTACAAAAACACCCCTTTCTGAGGTGTGGAAGTATTGGTGGCACTTATATAACTCTAATTATGTTCTCTATCATAACAGGACAGATGTCAGCTCTCCCATTCTACCAACACCAAGCTGTATATTCGAGGTTTGGTATATATGTTTGACATGCATAGAGGGACATTTCTCTGTCTTCTCCCTCCCTCCTTACATGACCTTCACTTGAACCATGCTGTGAGAACACTGCAGTGCAGCTGACAGCCCCATTTAATTCCCAACTTATGATTGGCCACAAGGGTGAGAACGGCTGATAAGTGTCACCAAGCAACAGCGCAGATGTCAGTCATTGTCAGCGAGGTCATTAGAGCTGTTCAAAAGCAGTCAGAGGCTGGTTTTTGAAGTAAGTCCACATAAAACCATATTACTGTGTGGTCACACAAGCTAGGCACTGAATAACTATACCACCGGGCGACCTGCAGTTTCAATTTAGTCATAAACGAGTAAAAATGTGGCTCAAATGAAGTCACTGCACAGTGAGGGGTTTCTGTCAGGGACGTATTTACACCTACGATAAAGTCCGGAGGGTTTCAGTGCAATTTAGCGTTGCACTTGACTAACACTATCCCTCTAGATTAATCCTAACCTGGATTTTTCTGCTGGTACAA